ACAGTTGACTTGGAGCGTGAAGACGGCGACGAGTGTGAAGAGAATATGGAGGTTTTCGACGACAGCAGCTCCAGCCCTTCAGGAACCCTTCGCAATTACCCACTGACCTGCAAAGTCCTCTTCTCATACAAGGTATGAAACAATGCGGGCAAATACGCACCGTGCTCCGAAAACAGTTTCTTCGAGGACCACATTTTAGTGCAGAACTGTAAATGTATAAATGCGATGTCAGCAAAAAAAAGTCATTGTGTATGGTCGGAAGCTAAAATGTTCAGGACATGTTGCTCAGTTGATATTTCTGTAGCTCTAAACACCATCACACACCGTCTCTCCTTCCGTGCCAGGCTTCTCAGCCAGATGAGTTAACCATCGATGAACAGGAGATGTTGGAGGTTATTGAGGATGGCGACATGGAGGACTGGGTCAAGGTGCGCGAGTACACATGTAACGTTCACAACAAATGAGCGTCAAGTTTGTAGTAACAACAAACACGATCTCTTCAGGTGTGTGTGGGTAGTTGTCGACCTGCTGAGTGTGGATTTCTCATTTGTCCTCCACAGGCTCGCAATAAGACAGGCCAAGTAGGTTATGTTCCTGAGAAATACCTCCAGTTCCCCGCATCCAACAGTCTGCTGAGCATGCTTCAGTCACTGGCAACTCTGGACGCTCGGTCACACACTTCTTCCAACTCAACCGAACCAGAGTTGCTCTCCGGCTGTGTCAACGGCGATGCTAACAGTAAGTTTTATAACCGTGTGAACAAAATGCCTTTTGTTTGGACTTCATCTGTAATTTTAAACTCAACTTTTCTTGAATTCTTGCCTTCATGCCACTGTCTAGAAAGACAGGCATACAGTCCTCTCCTGCTATATCGTTCACTTACTGTGGTCCAGCTGCATTACAGATTATTTTTTGTTTGTACAAGGTATTCATCGGTACTTGTCTTCTGTACAAGCCCCGCACTGTATAGCAGTAATCTGCACTTTTTAAATGCTTTTAAGTGTATACTTGCTAAATGTAAAGGCCTCACATAGATGAAATGAGAGCCGCAGTCGAGAACACTAAATGTGAAACGCAATTAGCACATTCACTTGGAGCTGCTGTCAGCCCCATCACATCAAACGTTCACACGTAGACTTACTGGCATGTCACCACACCAGACCCACATCTGAAAGGCTCGTATCCAGCACATTGCCCCGACAATAGGAACTGTATTTTCGAGACGTCTTCTCAAATATATTTACAGTGTTTTTACTGTGCGTTTTAGTAAGTGTGTGGGCGTGTCAAACTGTATAAAGGGTGGGTCTAGAACGTATCCCGCGATTAATTGGTGTTCACTGTTTAACGTTTTGCACTACAGCCTGACAAATCCTGTGTTTCCACCATAGTGTAACTAATATGGCAACAGCTGCGTGTCCTCATAGCACCGACACAGCATGCCATTGAATACAACAAAAAAAGATGAACGCAATACAATGGATTGCAGTGTTCGGACAAAAACAAAACAAAACAAAACAAAACAAAAAACTAAAACACACACACAGTCCACTGAAATACCTTGGAAATAATGAGACTGCTGAAATGCATATTGACACGCCACTATTCTTCTGGGACAATGTTCTTCTGACCATTGTGGCTTTTTCTTTTCTCAACAAAAGTGCACCAACAATTTTGTCACTGCCGTGCATCCAAAGAGGAAGAACACTATACCTGCTTTATGACAAACAGCAGGCTCAGTATTGTTCCGGCGCTGATTTGCTACATCTGACCTTTGATATCTTGAATCTATGTACAGTGGTAGAGTAAAATCTCAATCACTTCAAGGCAAAGAAATTTGCTCCCTCGTGTCAGAAAGGATAAGCAAAGCACCCAAGAATAGCTAAGAGCAAAACAGTGGACTAGTCTGAAATGGCCTTCTACGAACCCCGATGTAAATCCTATCCAGCACCTCTCCAAGGAGCTGAACCCTGCCGTCGAGAAAAGGCACCCTTCAAACCTGAAACAACTTGCTTGCGCCGTTCACAGTGAAAACACGAGCCATAACAGGATTCATTGTTCCAAGAAGCTGCATCTAGAATAGCTTTTCCTACTGTGTGTCTAATTGCTGTCCATTATCCCCCCCCCCAACCCCACCCCGCCCCCACACCCCCCTACAGTGGTGTATGTACGAGCACTTTACGATTACGAAGGCCAGGCGGAGGAGGAACTCTCCTTCTCGGAGGGAGCGGTCATTCGCCTTTTAAGCCGCGACACTCAGACCGATGATGGTTTCTGGGAGGGGGAGCTTAACGGAAAGGTGGGCGTCTTCCCCTCTGTTTTGGTGGAGGACTTGACAGAGAATGGAGAGACTGGATTGGGAGGGACCACTGACATACAGGTAAAGTATTGCCTGCACGCTCTTTCTGTCCGTTTGGTTATTTAGGCTTTCTGCATTTCGGCACAGCACATGGCAGTGACTTACTTTCTACAGTATTTTATTCCATCGTATGTCATGGTGACATACGTAAATGGGATGTCTTATGTCAGATCCAAAACAAAACACACACACACACACACACACACACACACGCACACGCACACACGCACACACACACACACACACACACACGCACACACACACACACACACACACACACACACACGTCATTTCTGCACAACTGAAGGTGGTTTTATCAGTCGAGCAGCTTATCCTGCCAATCTGCTTTCATCATGAATGTTTGTCCTTTCTGTCAGCAAGAGATTCGCGAGCGCTGCCTTATAGCTGCCGTGCTCTTGCGGTCCACTGATGAAAAGAAAACTGACGCTGCAATCACTCTTATCTGTGGCACTGCCCCATTAGAGTGACAGGAAGGATACAGCCTCTCCCCTCCCAGATTTCTGTCGACATAACACCCAACAAGTTAAAAGAGGGGAAATTTGAAATGTGTCCTGTTCACCGAATCTGCAGTGTGTACCTGCACAATCCAATAGCGCTCAACACGACAACTACACGATGGCAAACTACAGTCGCCGTAGTTTGAAAACAAGGACTGCTTCAAATGTGAAGGCTGATTTTTTTTTTTTTTTTCTCAACGTTGTGTACCTGATCGCATTAGTAGATGTGTATAGAATGTAGTTGCCTGTCGGTGGTTTTATACAGCACTGAACTTTGTGATGAAAAAAATCCAGGTAGCTCGGTTTACTATCTCGCAATTTGCAATCGTAGCTGCACTGATTTCCTTCCCCCTATAGATTTCTCCCTCTTCGAAGCTGCCGTCATCTCTTCCACCTCTTCCGCTGTATGATCAACCTCCCATAAGCCCTTTCACCAGCCCGGAGAGCTCGACTCCACCGTCTCTCCCACGCTCACCCTCTGCTGCACTCAACGGGGATCACAAGCTTCCCCTGCCCAAGTCATCGTTAACTACCACCAGTAAGCAATACAAGCCACACCTTTCCTGCAGTAAAGCAACATGACTGCACTCCGAATGGGCTTTTAAAATGAATAGAACCTTTCTCTTTTCTCTTTAGATCAAAATTCTGGGAGGAGTCCCGTGTCACCCGGGATTCAAACACAACCGCCTCGATTTCCCCCTGAAGGAGGTCCAGGCAAACTACGACCTGTTAGTATGCACAGTAGGAAAAAACAACAGTGGAACGTATGGATGGATGGATATCGATTTAAAATGTTTTCACTCAGGCTGACAACCGAAAAGGCTCAGTCTTACATTTTCTGTTTGTCTCTCAGGTGCGTGCCGCTCCTCCACCACCCAAACAGCAGTCTCGCCGGCAACACGGGAAGAGCGACAAGACGGAGGAGGTGGAGATTACGCTGGTGTAACCGAGACGCAAGATGGCACGCGGTTAGACGCACACTCCCCAAACATGATTAACCGATGGCAGCCTAGATCCCAGCGGCACAGCTCTGACCTTAAATAACCTGACGAAAACAGAACTGAACCACATCAACTGAGCCTGTCCCCAACTCGAGCTACCCCTCATTCTCTTTTATCCTCAAGTTGTGGAAGAAGGAAGAGAGGAGTGCGGGGGAGGCAGGCTTTCCAGTTAAATTTCCTCTGTATTTGCTTCCTAATGAAGTGCAGCGGTAACCTCCCCGACGGTCCCTCTGCGCCCTCCCACCTCTTTCCATTCTTGCCTTAAAAAAAACCCTCACCTCATTGGGCGGAGCCCCAATGCACACTGAAGAGGAGGAAGGGGAGGATGAGGAAGAATGTTTGCAGAGGGAAGGAAGGAGTGTTGGACAAGTGTTTTTGGCCTTGTAAAGCTTACTTCCATTTTCTTTGGAGCTGCAAAACTGCTGTTTGACTGTGACACATCAATGATTGCGTGTGGAGACTGGAGCAAATGATTTGTACGTTACCACCAATCTGTCAATGGAATACGGATGACCTCCATCACTTAATTAATGATACTACTAACGCTGACATGACCACACATCTGATTATGTTCACGAAGATTCCAAATACAGTGAAAACCTGAAACATTTTAGTCTTCTTAAAAGTTCTTGATTGATTGATACATGACAGAAGGCATCCAATATACAGGATGTTAGTGGAAAGGAAGGCTTGCGGAAGGCAGTCATATGCGTATCATGAGCACATAAGAAGAAGTGAATCACTGCATGTAAAACAAAAAACAAAACAGTTTTACATGAGTCTCTTTCCACTATTTACATACACAGCGTGTATGTAAATAGTGGAAAAAATGTCATACTTTGATTGTTGACATTTGGCTTTGCTAATCTTGAGCAACAAGAACAGAACGCTGCTGCGTGCTGTGTGTAGCAGGCAAGAAAAAAAAAGGATATGAGTGACTTTTTTTTCATAAGAATTTGATAACCCTCAAGATGATCAAATGCTAACGTTCCAATGTTTAAAAAAAAAACATTTGAAAAAAACGCCTGCACGTGGACTTCGGAATTCTTAGCCCATGACAATGTCAAATTTCCTTTCATCGGGCTGATTGGTGGTAAATGCAAAGTATTTCCCCCAAGTTTCTTAGCCCATGACAATGTCAAATTTCCTTTCATCAGCTGATTGGTGGTAAATGCAAAGTATTTCCTCCAAGGCGTGAGTGAATTTACAGAGGCTTCATAAAAAGTAAGCTTCAGGAGAATAAGCAAGGATATCCCAGCGCTTATAGTTCTCATCATCCTCCAGTACGTATTTCATGTGTATTAGTACAGTACATTACTGTTGTCGTAGGAATGTTTCATATAACAGTACTCGGCTAAAGGAACATCATATTTTATTCCTAAAGGGCATTGTAAATATAGTCGGAAGGAGGGCCCGCAAAGACAACTGGAAGGAGATGAGAAATGGAAAGAGAGAAAGGAGAGGCTGGATCCTGCCTTCTGCTCTTCCCCCCAACTCTTTCCCCGTCCTTTCTTTCTTCCCCCTCTTAACTTTTATCTAACATCCGTACTGTTCATTGGCAGTGAGTGCAACTCGGTGGCTGTCATTGTATTCACATGAGCGTACTGTATGCAGTTATGTCATGTTACACACCTGTTATGTATCTTCCTTGGCGTCGCCAATTGGTTGAACGCCGATTGACGTTAAAAGCACCGAAAGACTGATTTGATATTGAATTTGATGTTATTGTAATTATACAGGGTGACGGGAGTGACGGTATTTCCCGCATAGAAGTCAACTGCGTTGTTGTTTTTTCTGGACCGCTTGATTATGGAGCGACAGATTCATCGGCATGAGTCGTTCTCTCACATCTGCCCACCCCCCCATCCCCTACCCCCTTGTGTTTTTGCCTCTAGCGCCACAAATCATCATTCTTCATCAATTTCTTCCTGTGTTCGACGAGTGCTGGCTAAAATAGAACAGAAGCGCCCAATGGACAGATGATATTTCAAAGGGCGCTAAGTTCGACTCTCTTGTGTATCTCACTCCAAGCCCCTTAATTAAATACCCTTCAAGCCTTTAAAGTCCTTGCCGAATGGCAGCGTAGCACTTTTATTTATTTCTACACCCCCTGCAAAGTAGTAAGTAGCGCCTCCACTTCAGAGCTGACACTGGAGTCAGATACTCTGTTCATTGGGAGTCTGTGGGGACTCTTTGGTTTCATTGCGATTGATGTTTTCGTTTCAATTTCTTCCAAACGGCACTGGGGAAGACGCAGCGGCAGCCCAATGTCTTACCGCTTCTGTGCACACCAAAAATGAAACATTGATTTCACTTGACATTTTCTTGTCTCACAGTGTCGCTTCAATATTTGAGTGTAGAAACTAACCATGACAATGTTTCCTTGTGTTCTCATGAGAGATGGGGAGAACGATCATTTGAGCAATATAATTAGGTGGGATTGATTGGTGATTAATCTTGAAGCCTTATTGCGGTTGTGCTGTCTTTTTTTTAAGATAAGTTTTAGATTTCTTCTGTTCAAACAACACCGCTTTTCCCATCAGTATAACCCAATATAACCCAAACTAGTTCTGTCAAATGCCTCTCCATAGCCCAACCAACAAAATGTGGAACCGGTTTCCATATATAAAACATATTAATTAATTTTTCATTTTTGGCATTCAAGTGTTTTTTTTTTTTGTTTGTTTTTTTGTTGGGGGTTTTTTTCCACCCATTCCCGAGTGCAAATGCAAACACTGACATTTACAAAGACCACTGTATGGTGATTATCTGAAAATCAGTGCTGAGACGGCATTTGAGAAATGATGAGCATTTAATTGAACTGCCGGTGTTTGCAGCTGCACTTTTTTTGTTGTGTTTTTACGTTGGACAGACAAACGGATAGTATAGATGCAGTTAAGATCTGGGATGGGACAAACATTGGTCAAAATGTGTTACTACCGGAAATAGATGACCGTAATCCCTTTTTTTTTTATCATGAACATGTTGAGTAGCATCCATTTCTGATTGTCAATGTCTTCATATATGTTGGAGTCTTCGATCCAAAACTTGTTTTGCCCTGCTGTTAGAAGTAATCCCGATCGCAATTTTAAGTGGTGTGCGGTCAAGGCAACGAGCACGGCAGCCTCCTCCTTGATTTCTCTGAGATCTTAATTTATTATATGGTCTTAAAACTTGTTTTGAAGTTTATCGTTTACATCGGCGTCCCTCAGAAGCTCATTTTTTCAAGACTCAATCGGTCTGTTGTGAAATGTTATGTTTGCGGTTTCCATTATACAAAGACTACTTTTTTTTTAAATTTTATTTTAACAGTCCTTTTTGTTTTGCCATAGTGCATAATTCTTTTTTTATGTTGCATCCACCAGTTTGGATCAGCAGCACACTTTCTTTTAATTACTGATAAAGTGGTCGAAACCACTGGCCTTCTCTCCGGTCGGATTGTTGCCATGGTGACAAATAACAAGAACGGGGTGCAGATGTCTTTCTGCATAGTATTATTGGCTGTACAAAAAGCTAAGTTTGTATTTATTGTGTACAAATGTTAATTAATAAAATAATATTGGAAAAACAGCGTTTGCCGTCAACTTATTGTCCATCCATGTTTGCCTTCCCCGCTGTGGAGATGCGTGTGCACCACCTGTCCTGGAAATGTACACTCCAATTGTGTGTCATGAACAAACGCGTTGCCTCTTATGTACCAAGCACAAGAAGTGGGTGTGATCGGAGTCTCTCGCACTATATACAACCAAAGTGCGGAATTTCCTGAATCAGAGTGCAGATGGAAGGAAGGAGAGAACCACCGGCCTACTGAGACAAGTCAGACAATGAGAGCATTCAGCTCCTTTGGAGTTAACATTTAGAACAATACATGGACCAAGCTGCTTCCAACCGTCGCTTCGGTTCGTCCTGTGTCAAACTTTATCTGTGCTCCAACCCCGCAGGTATGTTCGGAAAGTCTCCAGATGATTCACAGAATGTTTGTAGCCATTTTTTTCTGTGTCCAAGGTTTACATTGGTTGTTTTCTTTTGGGACATTTGTGTGCAATGTCACAGACAGCGTGGTGGAGCGCAGAGCCCTGAGAGATGTCGTGTTCCCCAAACTCCGAGAGCATTGCAGACGCGAGCTGGGAGTGGACTTTAGGGTGAATACACACTTGCCACACAGTCATCAACATTCAATCAAAACTATTCTATCATGTGGATTAAAACTGAGCATGATTACCTGAAACACGAAGGCATAACTTTCAATTTGATTTCATTTTGTGTGTTGTGCGTCTGTGACATGATGACAGATTTTGATGCCTTTGCTCTTTTTATGGTCAAATTATTGAAAATGATTTCATTTATCTCGGCTACAACAGAAAGGATGTGTGTGTGTCTGTGTGTTTTGCTGGTCCCTCTCTTTGGAATGACATTGGCATTGTTGCATCTCTATTCAAAAACAAATGTACTTAAGAGTGTCGGATGCTGCAAAAAGCGCAAATGTATAACCTCTCTGTGTTGATTTAGTCGTGTGTCCGTGTTTGTGTGCACATGTGTTTCAATGTGCAGGTGATTGACCCACATGAGTCCATTCATCCCAGCCACTGGCCAGATGAGAACACCAGAAAGGAGTTGATAAAAGACTGCAGAGAAACCTCTGCTGGACCCTTTTTACTGGTAAAATACATCATCAACATTAACGTCAGACTTGACATGAACTCTATCGGAGTATCACCACTAATTTGCATGTTTACTTTATCTCTCTCTCTCTATTGCTATGTGACTTTGGCCATGTTTCTGCTGCATGGGCCACATACACATATCCCCCACACTAATTGACAAGTGTTTTTGGCAGCGTTTTTTTTTTTGTTTTTTTTTTAAGTTATCCCTTAGCGTCATCACTAGTTGTCATGGTGACCAGAAGGCATACTCTGCCATCATTTGCATGAGACATGACGGCAGACTAATTTCAGCACGGCAAAAATAGAGGGTGTAAAGTATACTATAATTATTGAGTCTAGGGATGTTTTGGCAAAAAAAAACTAAAAAAACTTGTGACGGACATGTTATTAAGACACGTGAGTGGTTTTAAGTAGTGAAAAAAACCATAGAATGTCCCCTTTAAGTATGTCGAGAAAGATGTGTCTTCCTGTTTTCCAATTTCATTATATCTTTGCAATAAAGCTTTTGCCCTTCTGTTCTCATCTACAGTCTATCTTGTCAAATCACAGTATGACTGGCGAACCGTTCTCTCTCTGTCCACACGGTTTTGCTGCAAGGCTTTGATCGGACATGAGTACGGCAGGGCCAGTCTTCCTGCCCAGGTGGAGGTGTCACACTTTCACATGCTGCTGCAGCAGATCCAACAAGCTGGCCTCAGCACTCGACCCCTGGAGAGAGTCTACCACAGAGACGAGAACACTATTCCGCTGTCGTTCTGCTTGAGACCCTCGCGCCTGCCTCAGGTCTCCAAGAAATAATGGCACTACTGTCAGTCATGTTCTTGCTTCAATATAAATGCCAATTGACTTCGTTGGCTCCAAGGAGGAGAATCACAGACAGGACTTGGTGACGGTGTTTGAGACTGCTGTGAGTATGTGCGTGCACAAGAAGCTTCTGACTGAAGGGGAAGGCCTCGGTTTAAACAGATCAGGTGAACTGGCTCTGCGTATGCATCGATTGCGCGTCTTCAAGTGTGCATTTCACCGTCGGTCATGTTATTCAAGGCTGCTTCTGGCTATTTAGTCCTTGATGGCGATCTCCGCTTTGCCCTGGTCAACTGTCCTCGTGATGACGTCGTCAGACGCTGTCTTGTTTACGTTCGCAAGGTCACTAATCTCAAGGTGGAACAAGAGGCGAGAGGGATGGACTCCTTTCAATTTAACACGCAGTCGGAGGAAGAGGTGACCGCCGCTTTCTGTTCTCATACGCGACAGTTCGACAGACAAGACATGGTGAATGAAAGAAGTGGAGAACGATTGTGAGGGCTCTGCATCAACAAACATTTATGATGATTGTTATTATTAGATTGAAATTTCAGCGCACATAAAATGATGGACGACCATTCATACCCACAGCGCCTGCATGGCAGTCAGGCGAATGAACCACAAGCTCATCAGCAAATTGTCATTTTCAGTTTTGGACAGGAAATGCATAATTTGGGGCTTAATTGTACATTCCACAATCACAAAATAAGTAGACATGTGCATCCTAAAAAAAAAAAAGTAAACACCAACAAATGCTTTGGATTAACACACGGCTATAACAATATGAATGGATTCAATTAATACTGTATGTTAACTATTTGGCCGTATATTGTAGAGGATGTCATTTTATTATTATATTTAAAAAAAAAAGGCCACTCTAGTGCAGTTAAACAAATAACCAAAATATTAAGAAACAGTTCTCATTATGATGCAGTGTTGCTCTATAGCACCGCAAACTATAACCACAGTTAAAACATGTTAAAAACATAAACATGCCATTCATACTTCTTTGAATATTAGCACACTTTCTAAGTGTGAAATTGAAACGTTTATTTTATTCTTTTTAAATATTATTATTAATTTATATAATTTTTTGGGGTACATACTGTAACAGCTAAAGATGCTCATCCTCACTGTACTTCCAGGGCACTTTTCCCATCTCTAACCGAGTAAAAGCATCACCCAGAGAGAATGATTTACTCTCCGATCTGATTGACAACTTCTTGAGAGGCCTGATCGACTCGTACCAGCTTGAGGCTTACATCACCACGGTCGAGTGTGACCCTCGCCATGGTTACACCGCGGCCCGCAGGCGGGTGTATGCGGAGTTGCTCTGCCATCGGGTGTATTCTGACCTCGTGAGGTTGACCGACAACATTGCAGAGGATGGAGAATCTGGATTCTGTGACTTCAGTGATGCTTTGGCGCGTGAGCAAGTCGAACAAGAGGAACTGCGTGCCGTCCTGTCTCGATTTTATGTCATCACGAGGCCAGAGATGGAAGAGGTCAGACGTCATTCTGTGACTATTGATAGAGTTGATCTGATCGTAAAGTCCCACCTTGACTTTCGAATGAAGCTCGAAGCTTTTGGGGTTGACTTCCCCTTTCAAAAGATGTGATCTTGACGGTTCATTTTTCCATAGGTCCGAGCCTATGTTCAGCAGAGTGACTACCAGCGTCCACTTTTGCTGACAGGAGGTCCGTGTGCCGGAAAAACAGTGCTGCTGGCTCACTGTGCTCAGCGGGTAAAGAAATTAATACGCTACAATTTCTTCCCGGACAATTCAAGTCGATTCGATTGACCACTCATTTGTTCTTGTTTTAAAACATTTGTCGTCATTGACGGTTGAGTCGTCATTAAAAAAAAAAAAAAAATTGTTCCTGTCATGATAATATTTGAACTAACATTGCGCTCATTTTCATCTTCAAAGAACATTTTAAAAAATTTAACCACTGCTAATCATTAAAATCATCTTGAAGAGTGAAGGCAGTAAATGTTGACTGCAATTTCAAATCTTATATTATCAATAATCATCTTGTCCTGAGCAGCCGGAACGGAGATGTGATGTCAAATTTTTTTCCCCTCGTTGGCCATGAAGTAAAATATGTCAATAATAACAATATAATAATATCTGCATGATCTGTAGCAACAGCTGTAGTGTACTAGATACACAGTATTAGAGCTCATGAAGAAAGCAGGTGAGTTGAATGTGTGACGTCATCATCAGCGTTGAAACCATTTCTTTTTTTTTCTCTGTAGATGAAATTCTGGCTGCAGGACGCCGATCCCGCTGTGATCACCTTTTTCGCCGACTTGCCACACTTCCCTACCCCCGAACGCTTGCTGTCCAGCTTGTGTTATCAAATCTTCAGGAGTTATGGCCGCTCTTCATCTTCCCAGGGCACCTGCTTCGGCTGTTACCGGGGTGCCACTGAGCCTCGAGACGATGACTCTGACGTCACTCAGCTAAACCTGAGGGCTGTGTTTAGGGCCATCAAAAAACCCGACATCAGTTTACATGAAGTGGCAGAATGTCTCAGCTCCCTTCTCTCCATGCTGCCGTGTTCCCAAAAACCTTTAGTTCTGATCCTGGATGGGGTGCACCAGATGGGGCATAACTTTGCTGCGCAAATCATCGAAAGCCTTCCCTCACCTCTTCCTCCCGGAGTCAAAATGATCCTCGGGGTCTCCGACAAGCAAACTCGCCTCGCGCGGGTCATTAAACTCCATTACCCAGAGTGCAGTGCACCAGGCTTTGTTTCAGACGGGGGTAAAAAGGATTTGGGGTGTCTGCACGTTGCGCTGGGCTCTGCAGACAGGAAACAATGTCTGAAGGTGCTAATGTCACTGCTAAGCAATTCGGGGAGGAGAGTGACTTCTGGACAACTGCCACTGGTGACCCGAGCGCTGACTTCCTGTTCTCTCCCTCTCTACGTCCGCCTACTACATGCTCACACCTCACTCTGGTCCTCAGGTACAGTAACCCAACTCAAAATGGACGTGTGTTTTTTTCTTCTCACATTTACTCTCATCTTCACTCTCATTTTGGTCTCCCGTTAAGATTCAGAAGTGTCCGAGTCGCAGCTTCCCGCCGGCGTCCATTCGTCGATTGCGGTCTGGCTGGATCACTTGGAGCACAAATATTCCTCCTCTGTGGTGGCCCGTGCTGTCTCTTACCTCACCCTCTCCAGAGTAGGGCTCACAGAGTCAGAACTTGCCGATCTCTTATCCAAAGCCCACTCCGATCAGGTCGCCCAAGTGGATGCTGAGAGACTGCTTCTCGACCTGAAGAGCTTTCTCACCACGACGACTATAATAGGTTGTCAAGTTTTGCTGTGGATGAGCAGACATTTTGGCCTAGTCGTGGAGAAAACGTATTTAGACACATGTGAGGCCAGGAGGAAAATTCATTCGGAGTTGGCCGATTATTTCCTGAGCCGATGGAATACATGTCTTGAAAAGTCGAGCCTAAATGAAGGCGGCGCGCGAGCGAGAGAATACGTAGATGAGCAGCCGTCACTCAGAGAGGCTGTCCATGCGAGAGAAGCTGTGGAATTGATGCATCACATCCGAGAAAGCAATAATTGGGAGCTCAGATGGGAGGTGTTGACATCATGGAGGTTCCATCGTGTTTTAGTGAAGGCTGGCCTCCTGAAGCATCTGGTGGCCATGTTGAGGCAGGAAGAGGGATCTCGGGACCATTTTAGGGAATGCGCACTCCTGGCGAGCACATTGGCGTCTTCATCCTGTTTCTTGCAGAGCTCCCCTTTGGAGCTGCCGACGTTGATGGAGGCGAGCCTCCTGCCGTACGTGGGGCTCTTTCCCGCGCTCGCGGCTTATGTCGGCGAGATCAGATGCGAGAGAAGGACGAGAGGCTGCGGATTGGCGGTTGCGCTTCCTCCCGCTCCCGATACCGTCGCCTTACTTCGGCACCTCAAATGTGAGAGCGGACCAAAACGGCTCACCGCGGCCGCTGCAGCGACACAGTGTGGGACAATCGCAAAGGTCGTGTGCGATGGCTCGGCATGGATGTGGAACGGCTCGAGCTTTGCTGCCGTGCGACTATCGGCGAGCTCTGAGCAGGGTGAGCTCAAGTTTGCAGGAGTGAAAAGCAGCCGCCGGTTCATGTTGTTTTCGACCCTATGCAACAAACTTTTTTTGTGGGACGCTACGGCTCCAGAAATCCTTACGGAGGTCAAAGCCTCACGCACACTGAACATGTTAGCGGGCTTCGTCACATCCGAAAGACGGCTATGTGCGTGGTGGAAGCAGGACAGCCTAGTGGGACTGTTTGACGCCTCCGACACAACCGTGAAAGATTTGCGCTGTCCGAGCTGCGTAACCTGTGCGGTTTTCTGCTCTGATGGCGCCCGCGTTTTTTGTGGCCAAGAGGAAGGCACCGTGTCGATATTCGACGTGGTCCAGTGCAATCTCCTTCGCTCCTGTTCCAACTCAAGCCACCGTGCAATTGTGTCGATAATCCTCTGTGAGGACAAACAGGAAATGGCGTGTGTCGAAAGTTCGGGAGATGTGAAATTATGGAATGTTCCCTCCGAAACGCCAACACTGGTTAAAGAATCCTTCGCAGGGAGCAAGTTCAACAACATGCTTAATATTGATTACTCTGATGAATTCGACAGTTTATTGGTATGTCATGGTAACCAGGTCGCAGTGTGGGATACGTGCGAGTGGGAGAAGTGTGACCGCTTCTTGGCTCCGCGGGGTCAAGCTTTCGTTCAAGCAATATTCTCCAAGGGTGGACACCATTTTCTGGCTTTCCTGGAGGCCCGTCCCCTGGTGTTGGTGTGGAGGGTTAACACGGGGCAGTGTGTTCTCTCCTTAGAGGTCCACACGTTACCTCACACCCTCCTCAAAACCACCTCAGACATCGTGTGCGTCACTGACAACGGCTGTCTTCTTGCGTGGGATTCCAAAATGGTTTTCCTTGCTGGTGAAACTCCCAAAATGGAATGCGGGGTCAAAAATGTGGCGGTGGACCAAACAGGAAGATGCTTCTACACTTCAGACGGGACACGTACAGTGTGGAGTTGGAGCTTAGAGACGGGTCTTCCGCATGCTCACTTCCTGCACGGTCATCCTGTGAAAAAGATACGTCTTAGTCGGGATGACGTGACGCTTGTGACACTCTCAGCTGAAGATATTTACATTTGGCATCCGGAAACTGGGCAGAATATCCTACGGATAGGTGGGGGCGGAGCTACAGATGTTCTTATTACACCCAACTGTCACTTTGGCGTTAGTATTTGTGAGCTAGGACTCTCTAAGGTTTGGAGAATGGCACATGGGGGTGTCGTATGCGGGATTCACCTGCACCTTTCGAGTGCACAGGTGTCCGCCGAGAGCACCTTTCTCATTGGCCTGCATGGTGGAAACCTGCTGGCTGCCAGTTTGTGGTCAGGCACAATCAGCAAAAGCTTCCGTCGAGTTGAAAGCTCAGAAGATGTCGTTGCTTTCGGCACACTTTCTCAGCATGCCGATTTTGTGGTCGTGGTGGTCGCCTCGGGGGCAATCTACACATGGAAAATGTCCGATGAAACGGTGTGCAGGCACTTTCAACTGCCGCCGACATTTTACTGTCAGCCGGAAAACTTTCGCGTGACGTCAGATGGGAGCTTTGCATTGTTGTCCATCGATAATGAAGCTATCAACCTCTTGGACGTGTCTCAGGTCAGACTTTGCTCTCTTAAAGCTGACGGTTCTGTCATGAAAGCCTGCTTGGATGAAACGGGACGTTACGTCGCTTACATATCACAGCGTAGAAGCCGATGTGGTGCTTGTTCCCAGCACACACGTGCCATTCTCACTGTTGTGCAACTCTCTGACGGAGAAAAAGTAGGCAGGGTGTTTCTGCGTAAGGATCCGTTGACGCTGCTCATGCATGGACAGCAAAGTGCGTTTGTGGGTTTTCAGGATGGGTCAGTAGGGGTGTATTGTATTTCAGGTCCCTTGACAGGTGAGGAAGATGCACTCGGATGCAGCAAAAAATCGGGGAGTAAGTTGAAAGGCTGCTGTTGCAGTGCAGGGCCACTGAGATGGTTCCCCTGCGTAAGGATCCGTTGACGCTGCTCATGCATGGACAGCAAAGTGCGTTTGTGGGTTTTCAGGATGGGTCAGTAGGGGTGTATTGTATTTCAGGTCCCTTGACAGGTGAGGAAGATGCACTCGGATGCGGCAAAAAATTGGGGGGGAAGTTGAAAGGCTGTTGTTGCAGTGCAGGGCCACTGAGGTGGTTCCCTCTAGAAGCTCCCAATGTTACGTGGCCTTCGCGAGAGCAACGAGGAACTTCATAGGACAATGATGAATTTGAGCAGACCTCCGGATTTGTGAACAAAATTGTTGGGGGAAAGAAAAAATCTAATCAAGGAGCACATTAGTTGTGTTTGTTTGTAACCACATTGTGGGGAGTGATACTTTGAATAATAAAAACAACGCGCTCATAAAAGAATGAGGCAGTCGATGGCAATGAATGGATCTTATTGCAAGGCCACACAAACACACAAGACATTGATGAACGTCAACAAGAGGGAGCTCTTGGGCCATGTCTTTGATGAACTTTTGGTGCCCCAGTCCAACTTGTTCATGTACAACGAGAGCATCCATACTGGCCTGGTTCCATCCATAATTAGGACACACACTGCTGAATATGGGACATACTTTAAGTTTTGATACCTTTGCTCTTTCTTTTTACAAAGAAAAAAAAAAGTCATATTTGTCACTGTTAAATGACATCATATATTTAAAATTTGACCTCTTCGCCTTTTCAAACACATTTTACCTTGCAAAACACACACACACACACACACACACACACACACACACACACACACACACACACACACACACACACACACTGTGTGTAT